CGGAGGGATGGACGGATGGATGGATGGTCGGATGGATGGATGGAGGGATGGACGGGGGGATGACTGACGGATAAAACAGAGGAGTGAGGAGACCCTCGGGTTCGTTGACTTCCGGCTGTGACCCTGTCAGTTCAGAAGCGCACGGCGCTGTGACGTGTCATCTGTGACGCGCATCATGGCGACTGTGGCGGGAACAACCTGCTGGATGTCGCGTTTTCCAAATGTTTCCTGAAGAAACGAGACAAACTGTCGCTGAGCTGAAAGTTTGTGTTGAGTGTTGAGTTTGTCGTGAAGCAAAGAGAAACCTGGAGAAACACACCTGAAGAAGTCACAAGGAGAAAGATGTTGGAGGAGGAGGTTTTACAAAGGGTCCGTTTGTCTCAGAGAACAACCACAGACAGGATTATTGACATGACACAAGATACTGAAGTAGTTATTCTCTCTGGTCTGTGATGGAACAAACATTACAAACACCGTCCCACGCCATCTTTGTTCAGGGGGTTACTGCAGACTTTGATTTCAGAGAGGAACCATTTCACAAGTCAGGCATGGCACTACCTACATTAAACCAGCTATCATCATCATCATCATCATCATCATCACTGCCATCTGACGTCAGACGCCTCGCCAAAGAGCGTCATCTCATTAGAGGTTAGTGTCATAAGGCCTTTTTTTTCCAGCATAAGCACCACTGTCCTGGTCTGGACCAGTAAACCTCACCTCCGGGGTCCGAGTTCAGTTTAGGGTCAAGCTGTGAATTGTGGTCGTGGTTAAGTCGGGGGGTGAAATTGTGGTTGGGCTGTTCACAAGAAATGGAAAAGTCAGTGCAAAGTCATAGAAAGGAAAACTGTCCAAACCTGTATGTGTGGTCCAAGTATTATTTATGTGGTGGGGACATTGAATCTGTTACACAATCACATTATGGAGACTTGTCTTCCTTGTGGGGCCACAAAGCAAGTCCCTGTAACATAAAGAATTAGGATATAAGGTTAGGTTAAGGTTTAGGTTAGTGATAACAATGGTTAAGTGTAGAATAAGTCTCCAGGGAATTGATGTAAGTCAACGTAATGTCCTCTGTCTGTGTGGACGTAAGTCACTACCTTTTGAGGGGAAGACACGTTTTTAAGGTTTGGTTCAGGTTTAGTTTTAGGTTAAGGTTAGGATTAGGGTAGTCAGTAGTAACAATGGTTGAGTTTAGTGTCTCCGGAGAATTAATGTAATCTTTTCTCTATCTCTTTTTTGTGTGTGTGTGTGTGTGTGTGTGTGTGTGTGTGTGTGTGTGTGTGTG